TAACAACGTTGACGATTTATAAAGACTTTTCTATGAAGGCCACACGCCCTTGCTCCAATTTACTTCATGAATACAGCCACAGGAGATCGCTCCACCAAAGGGGGAACCCCCAAATTAAGAACATAACAAGTTTGCATATTGAAAACCATTATGTTATATGTATATAAGTGACTAATGTTTTAGCTTACACCTAATGATTTATCTACTGATACTGATATATCATCTATCTTTTACCAATAGCATTAATAAACTACAAGTAGAATAGCTTTAATTTCTATTATATGTTCATGATTTACTAGAATGTAAACAAGCCATATATATAACTGAATAAGTGTCAAATTGACCAATCAATTATGTCTCATTAAAAAATGATATGAATTAGTAAATCAGAAAAAGAGACCAGAAAAAATAATTCTGATAAACAATGTTTGAATTTGAAAACATTACAGAATGTGAATGTTTTCATCCCTCAACAACTAACTACACTAGAAAACTGATCAATGCTCATCTCGCGCTTCCTTTTCAAACCTGCTTTTCTAGTCTCATCATACTGTCCTCTAAATGTGCTATGTGCAGGATAATAAGCAGCAACTCCCCATTTCATGTTTACAACATCAACATCACATGGTTTCTTCTGCTGCAGTTCATCGACAGACTCCCCTGAAGTCTTTGTGGCCACCTTCAAAGCTGAACACAATTCTGATGGGAATGAAAGGGTATTATGTGCTGACACCATAACTTGAACTCGAAAAAGAGGAGCACTAACTCCATGCTCTGAACTACTGTTACTGGACTCCGACAACATTCTGTTTACTGTTTTCCTTAGAGTGATATTAGGCAAGAGTGCATCAACAACTACATTTCTAGTCCCACAAACACAACTAGAGTTGCACATTATATGGTTCCTAATGCATTTATCACAAAAACTACTGAAACAACATTTGCTTGCTATAACTGCATCTTTCATCAATTCTTTACACAATGGGCAATAGAACTCTCGTGGTATATCTCTAAAGGAACTCTTCATTGAAGAAGAGGATGCAGACGACAAACCTTCAACACCCTTTGAAGATACAGCCTCATTGGTCTTCAAAACTCCAACACTGCCACCACTTGGGGCTGCTATCAACATGGAATTCGGTAGAGGCTTCACTTTCTTCATGTCATAACTGTGGTCACCATTTGTAGGACAGTGCTGAATATAATGTCCAGGCACATTGCATCGATGACACACGTATCCATAAGGTGGTTTTTTCCATTCCATTTCACCTCGACCAAAACCATAGCCATTAGAGAAGTGTTCAATGTCTGGTGTAGCAATTACATTCTTGATCTTAGTGTCTTCATCATGTTTGCTACTAGTGGGGGCACTTGGCACAGGATTATCTGATTGAACAGGCAATATTTTTGGAATGGCATATACATCATCCCCAAAATCATCACATTCAAAATCTAGACAACAATATTTGGCTGAAACAGACTCATGACCCTCCTCTTTATACACTTGCTTTGACTCAGTAAGGGATGGAATTACTATGGGCAAGAGAGGTGGTCCAGGAATACGACGAATCAAAACACTAGTATTTTTAGCAATCAAAGCCTTTTCATCAACATAGTGTTCGTTACTTTGTGAATTGGTAATAAGAAGATCGAAATCTTTACCCCTACCATAACGCTTCGATTCAAATATTTTTAATTTCAAATCCCAAACAGAAATAAATGGATGGACAATCGGAATAGAATCACAATGCTTCGCACTTTTATACTTGAAATGAATTGCCATAACTGAATAACAATTCTATCAAATATATACAACACAGTAACAGATCTAATCAAATATTGAATACAAAACAGAGAGTAAATTTGTACCAAAACAACACTAAAGAAGCTAAATCAAAGAATCTTCAATCGGCACTTGAAGCTAGGGTTTCAAATCCGGGCGAACGAACACGAAAACGCCGATGGTTCAAGACGACAATAGAATCAACCACGAAAACGCCGATGGTTCAAGACGGCAATTGAATCAACCATGAAAACGCCGATGGTTCAAGATGGCAATTGAATCAACCACGAAAACGCCGATGGTTCAAGACGGCAATTGAACCAACCACAAAAACGCCGATGGTTCAAGACGGCGATTGAATCAACCACGAAAACGCCGATGGTTCCAGACGGCGATTGAATCAACCACTGATTCTTCAAAATCAGGAAAACGAGAGCGATATTGAAATTGCGATAACCAACAGCAGGAACTCAAGAGCGGAATTGAAATTGCTTTGCGGAGAAAAATTGTGTATGGAAGGAGGGTTTCTTTAGGTTTATATAGATTTTCCGAAGATGACTTAACGTCTAAGAAAACAAATCCTTTACCAAAAGTAATAGTTATTCTCTCTCCTTTTTATATTACTTAGATGTTGTGGTTAATTTTAACTATGACCACTCAATTAAGTAATTAAGTTTTATTTTTCATAAAAGTCGCTTAATTTTTATTTATAAAATAATTATTTAATAGTTATAATATATATACTTATAAAAAATCTAATATAATAATACCAAATAGATCCAATTGTGAAATTATTTATCTAAATTGGACCACATCCAAACTATTTACTCTTAATGGACCTATGACCCAAATCATTTACCCGCTTACCCCCATTTTCTTCCTTTCTTATTTCACGCATGATGTCAGCATGACATCAACATCACTGCTAAGAATTAATCCTCTATGATACTCCATCGATATATTGATTATCAATATCATATAGGATTGAGCTGAATCCTCTGTGATACTCGATCAGTATATTGATACCCTATTCGTATCACATAGGAATAAAAAATAAATAAGAAACAATTAAGAGAAAATTATTAAAGTCACAATCTTATGTATTAAACTCTAAATTAGTAGAATCTATATATATATATAAATTTATTTTTTATTTTTATCTTTTTGCAAATTTTAAAAAAATTGTATCTAAATTATGATAATTTTTAAAATTATTTTAAAATTAAAATATTGATAAATTGAAACATACATCTACGACAGTATGTACTATACCGTAATAGTACTTATCGAAAGACTGAAACAAACCTCAATAAAAACATTGTTCAGTTACTCATTGATACCATTAAAATATATTTATCTACGGTAATATACTATGATGGTATTAAAAAGAAGAAAAAGGCAAATGCTGACATCAACATGATGTCAATGCACAAATAAAAATAATTAAATAAACAGATACCATTTGAAAATAAAAAGGGGTATGAAAATAATAAGACATATAAGGATAAATATTTTACTTTTTGGGGTATAAATATTTAATTTTTCTACCTATTAAATTGATATAATCGATCGTGACCCTTCTATACTTGTCGAATTTTATTTGATGTATATCTAAACTTTGTGTTGATTTAATTACCCTCTTAATTTTGTAAATTAATAGCCACAATCCCTTGAATCTGACATTCCATGGATGTGTGACACACACCACTACGTGAGTTTTTTTTCCTGGATTTCTTTTATTAGAATAAATGTATATTTTTTATTTTTCTAAGTTTACTAATTATTTAAATCATCTTTTCAGGGTTAATGTGGTTTTTTTTAAAGCTAGAACAACGATATTTTGATTATAATTTTTTTATTTGGCTAAAAATAATGATATTCTTATTAAGGTCCAAAAAAGAAGAAATGCACCGTTAGAAAGAATAATTATTGCATCTAAAACGAAATAAATAAAATATCAATAAAATATTATATGTATATTTAACCTGAAAAGGAAATAATGCACAATTAAATAAATTGTCTTTGCACGAAAAACACACATTTTTTTTCTTTTTGTACTAAATACTTGTTTTGAATTTCATTGTTTTAGCTAAACCTTTCTTAATTTGGCTAAAATAATTAAATTTTCAACTAAGCTTTGTAAACTTGGGTCCAAGAAAATAAAATATATATTTGAAACAAATAATAATTGTATATAAAAGAGAATAAAAAAAGGAAAATTGTATATAATAACAAACTATTAATTCAAATTAAATGTTCTAACCATAGTTTGATTTAATTGTACCCCATAGCAAACTGTTGCTATTTCGCCTCTCTTCCTGGTGAATCTCGCTTGCCACTCTCATTCTCGCTGGGCAGTCTTGCTCGCCTCTCTCGCTTTTATACAAACACAAATGTATAAAATGCGTTTGTGCTTGTATAAGCAAGAGAAAATTGTATATATACATATATTTTCGTTCCCCTCTCTCCCCTCTTCCAGATCTCACTTGCCACTCTCCCAGATCTCACTCGCCACTCTCACTCGCCTCTCTCACTTTATACAAACAAAAATGTATACATTGCATTTGTGTTTGTATAAAGTGAGAGAAAATTGTATATACAAATACAAATGCATATATTTTCGTTCTATACACTTATGATTATACAAATAGGATCTTTCCCTGCCCAGTTTTCTTTTGTCTTTCTCTCTTTCTGGCTTTATACAAACACATATTATACAATTGATTCTTTTTGTATGTGTATACTGAAACAAATTATACAATTGCTTCTTTTGTATATATGTATAGCGAAATAGTCATAGCAAACATAAAGTTTGCTATGGAGCACAATTATGCAAACTATAGCTATATGACTATATCATACAAATATGATTTTTGTGTTTGCTATATGTGAAAGTTGCTCTAAAAAAACACATTCAAAATAAAACATGCAATGCATATTAAGAAAAAATAATAATAGAAATACAATTGAAACAAATAAATCTTTATACTGATTATGTGGTAATTAATAGTTGAAAATATTCACTTGAAAAATGGAGTTTGCGAATCCAAAAGTGTAAAAGTTTGGGTCCATCAATGTGTGAAACATAAACGAGCCTCACACAGCTAGCGTTAGTGTAAGGCAGGAGAAAGAGCAAAACAAACAAACATCTTAGCCTAATGTTCTAAATTGCAGCTACATTCCTATTAAAACTAACAGCCCCCACTCACAAGTCACAATGTTAGAGTATATACTAGCCTGGTCTAGTTGTCATTAACTGGTTAACAAAAACAAAGATAAAGGCCCTTCATCCTCTGATGTCACTGCAAAATCTCACTTTTATGGTAAGGCTTTCGTAGGCTCTGGAATAAGAGTTTCCTCAGCTTCAAAGTCTTGACCTCCCCACTTGCGTAGGCGCTCTGCCGATTGCTCAACCTGCATTTCATTTTCTTATTATTACACATGACTTAATCATACCGAAACGCAAGGTTCAATAAAAATCAATAGTGTAACTAGTATTGCTTCATCTGCAACTTTTTCAAAGAGGAGGATAAAAAGAAAATTCACCCTTTGGGCAGCGACTTTCAAACAAAATTCTTACGTCGTCTATAGGATAATCATTTTACAGAGGACGTGCAGCTAATACTAACCAAGAACGAAGTACACATTATCAAGCATGATTTTTTTTGGAGTTTAGTTGGATAAAATCATCAACTGTTTCACTTACCTCTTTATTCCAATCAATTCTATAGAGTACAAATGAGAGTAACAGTGTCTGCAAAGCAAGTCCTGCTATCATTCCTGCCCATAGTCCCTGCAAGATAAATTCATAATTGGGATAAATTAAATTTCAATCATAATTTTTTAGGTTCAAAAAGGTTACGAGATGCTAAAACAAGGTGTTTCCTACTCATCACCAGTAGTTTCCTATAAAAAGATGCTTATAAATGCCGAGTGAGATTAAAATTTGATGTACTTATCATATGTAACTTTCGGAATGAGAGATTATTTACCACAACTCCATAGTCAGCCACATAACCAAGCATATATCCTAGAGGAATACCAAAAACATAGTATGATCCTAAATTGATATAAGCCACTAAACCTTGCCATCCACCTCCTATAGCAACACCTGTAAAACAATATTTGCCACAATAAGGACTACATAGACGAACACACTTCTAACCATAGAAACAGTGAAGTTGGAATAAAAGCAATACCTGATATTACAGGCTGAACACTGTTAAGAAGCATGGTTATTCCAAGAAGCCAAGCAAGGTCTGCAACGGCTTGTTGCAAATCCTTGCTGTTTGTGAAAAAAATAGCCAGATGATTTCTTACGGCAAGTACAAATATCATGCAGAGTATCCCAATGAGGAGTGATTGAAACACTGTGATATATACACTATATTTGGTAGCCCTGGGATGTCCTAGCCCAAGCTCATTGGAGACTCGAACACTGAGACAGAGACAATGCATTAAAACAAACCCCAAAATAAATGTAGTACATTTTTTTACAAGCTTTTACACTAAATTACCTTATGGCAGCATTGATTCCAATGAATAACATCTCTTCCCATCCATCAACATTCATACTGAAAGACGAAAAAAAGAGAATAAAATGATTGATGCACGTTTGATAAAAGGAGCTCACGACACTTTCATCTTATTGAAAGCTATACACTAAACCACAAAACTTGCACAGGACAGTTAAACTTAGAATTCTGTGCTCTAAATAATGTCTGTTGATAAAAGTTGTAGCTTCACTGTCAGTGAGCGTTAAAATTTATTTGAATGGGCTTAAGCATTGAGCGGTTAATGTCGATATACATATGCAAAAATGAACTTTTACCCATCTGCCTAAGTCTTGTTAGACAGAGTTCTCGGCACATTGGTTAAACAGGCGAGCTGCACGCAAGTTGGCTTTACACTGCCGTTATAAAACAAAAGAGAAAAAAGACACAAAACTCACCAAATCGAGAGGGATCCAACAGCAATAACTGCATCCTTGAGATGTCCAGTGAGTATAATAATACTCATCATGTACCACATTTCAAGACATAACATGACAGCTGAAGCAACTGAGAGTCTAACAAATGCCCAAATCTCATTTAATGCCGACAAAGACCATCCCGTCCATCCATCCTTACACCAAACAACCACATAAACAAATTGAGCTATTGCGTCCGCCCAACCTGTAATATTAAATGCTAACGCTGCCCCATCTGTACCCAAATTGAATACATATATGAACAGCCATAGCAGAAGAGCATGGAGTAAAAGATCCACAAAACCAATCCAAGCCACCACACCAACTTTACTTTGGGCTTGCAAAAACTTTGAAGTGGGAATAGTGACCGCCAGTGAATACAACTCGGGGATTGACAACAGGGCAAATTTCCCAGCAAGAACAGCCATTTCATGTTCTTGGCCTAAAAACTTAAGTAATGGAGTTGCAAAAATATAAATTGGCAACAGAAGGAATGTACTAAACAATAGAATAAGCATCGACCGCTGTGTGTAAATCCCAAGCATATGTATTTGCCCATCACCAAATGCCTGTCCACACAGTGTCTCCAGAGCACTCCCCATGCCCAACTACACAAATTTTACAACAAATTCCCAAATAAGAAACTAAAATTACAAATAATCAGTAGCAAAAGGAAAAACAGAGAAAACGATCCATGAAGCCGAAAGAGGAGGGGTAAATTTCTCAAATGGCAATTCAAGTTGAATAAATTATGGAGCAAAGTGACTTTACTTTGTTTTGTATTACACACTCATTCAATTGTGCGCTATATCTTAGAAAATCATTATTGCCGGATCATGCACTAAAATTCACCGGAAATTGTTGTCAGCATTTTAAATTCTACTCTAATTTATATTCCATGTTCGGCCCAAATAAAATCAACAACGAAGGTTAGAAATAGGCATTTGGATCGAGCAGATATAATATGAGAATACGAACCATGAAGCCGAAAGAGAAAGTACCAATAACGTTTTGAGCAACAGAAATAGCAGAGAGCTCAACAGCACCAAGATGACCACAAAAAGCAACGGTAATGGAGTAGGTCCCGTATTGGCAAAGGACATTGAAAGCAATTGGGCCTCCAATCTCCCATAGCTTCACTGTCTCGATCCAGAGTACAGCCCACCATTCTTTCAGGCCTTTAACCGGTCGGTAATCACCGTCGGGCCCAATGAGCTGGTGGTGGTTGCCGGAGAAGTCATGCAGAAATGGCGTTTCCATTACTCCGACGTTACAATTCTCCGCGTTTTGCTTGTATTATATGTCATATTCAGAAAATGGTAAAGAGAGAGAAGCATTAAAGTGTGAATGTACCAAAGATGGAAGTTAATAGTACAAAAAAGGCAACGAAAATATGCCAAAATACAATTTATTTTATAAATAATCGGCGGCGAAAAATGCTCCGCGCCTTCTTTACTTTGGTTTGGTTGTTTTGAAGTAGTGGTCCCTTTTTTCCACATATGATGGTTTTCAAGTCCGTTCAAATTGACTTATTTTAACTGTTTTATAATTAAAATAACTTTTGAAATGAAATGTTTTTATATAATTACAAGTAAATTTAAAAATAGAAAGAAAGTAAAAATAAAAATATGATAAAGCATTTATATGTGTTTTAAATAGTTTTTTAGTTCTAATTGAATGAAATTCACCAAAGTTTAAGTTTTTCAAATACAATTAAAGAAGTCAGAATCTAACAAAGATTAAATAGAAATAAAATCCAATACCATAGAATGTTGAAGAGAGAAGGAAGAATTCAATTGCCAATAAGTTAACGAGAGAAATGATATTTAAATAATGGACAATCAAAGCTATTTAAGTTTTGACCTCCCCACCTGCGTAGGCGCTAACCCGATTGCTCAACCTGCATTTACATACTACTAGATAGGTATGGCCTGTGCTCAGCACATGTCCAACACTTATATTTTGAATTTTGAAGTGTTTTCATTCATCACTTTGGCTTTAGTGTCTCTAATTTTCTGTTTTGATGGTATTTGACAAATTATCAAAGCACATAAAGAATTGATTGCTCGAAATTGCCTGTGCACAGCACGAGCGCAATACGAAAGACATTTTTGTTGGCTTCATAATTACATCTCAATTAATTAAAAACTTAGAAGTTATGAGTAACAAAAATACTTCATACTGCAGTTATTTAACGCTATGTTCCTTATTCTTCTCAATATTACAAAAGAGAATGATAGTATACCTTAGCCTTCTTTCCAACTCCTATTCATTCTTGTATGTTTTATTTGTCTATTTTGACAAAACTAAATTTATAACCTCATCACTTTTACACTAGGGAATGCATAGCATAAAATATTGCCCCTTTTCGCACTAATTTATTACATAGAAATGGATCACATTGAATGGACCAACACGAGTAAGTAAAATTGGTAACTTAGCCCCATGAGAGACAAAACTTTCCAAAAAAAGCTTAACACAAAGTTATCAAAGATCACATATAAGTATAATAATTGAATATCACTCACATAAAGTACAATTATTTGGTCTTTACACAGGTTTCAGTTTTATCAAAAAAAATAAAATTAAGAAACAAAAAATCAACAGCTATTAAGGATACATGTTGCGTGGTTTGTAATTTCCGGACTACGTCAATATTTAAACTATGCACATAAAGTTTTCACTGTTGGTTACTGATTGAGCCAATGAAATATAATGAGATAAGAATCTCTAGAGATCTTTCGTCTCCACTTACGCTTCTTGGTTGAATCAACTGTCACTTCTTTCTCCAGAAAGCTAGCGCATCAATCTTTCTTATCAACCACATTGTATCATAATCAATTCTCTTCATCCTTCTACACCTGCTATTCCTTATTTAATCAAGAGAGTACGATGACATGAGAAACTTTATATCTGAAAATGCAAAATTAAGAGTGAAAATCATGAAAAATGAATTTAAAAAAGAGTGGATAAAATGAGTCACCAACCATGTGTTAGAACCAAGAGATTAAAACATACAAACACCAGAGGTTTGTTCACTTCTTCACGCGAGGAGAAAATGGTTACAAAATTTTAGTTACATTTCCAACTCCTCATGTTTCTACAGTTTCTTGTCTATACATGACATAAGCTTAGCTTTTTTTTTTTTTTAAAAGTATGGCTCTATGATTCAAAAAAGGTGTGCACGTAAGTTACTTGAATGGAAAATTAGACTTCAAAATTCAAATAAATCCTAAAGCATCAAGACAAAAGCCTATGCTATGTGGGAGAATTCTATTTTTTTAAGTGTTACTGTTCCAATTCTTAAAAGTGTTTTTGTTATGAATCTTTAGGGAAGGATCGAGTCACAGGGCGATATATAAATCAGCTCGTTAAAGGGAGGCTGAAACCTTAGAGTTCATTAAAAGAGAGAACTCCGATCTTTTCAGCTCTTTAAAGGGAGACATAAACCTTAGAGTTCAATGGAAGAGATAACTCCGATCTCTTACTTTTTGCTTAATTATGACTTACTGATTTATTCATCAAAAGTCCCTTTAAATAGGAGTCTTATTACATCAATAGGAAGTCTAATTCTTATGAAAGTAGGAGACCTAAATCCTATTCCAAACTTATAACTATAACTTAACCTAATCCTTATGAAACTCTAAAACTAAACCCTATTTTAGAATAATAAATAAAGCAACTAAAAATATAATTAAATACTTAAATTAATGACTTCCAACGCATCCCTAACAGTTTTCTACAAGGGCAAGGAAAAAGTGATGAACTTTATGAGGAAGGAGAACATCCATAGTATGACAAAATTCAGATTTAGAACTCATTTTGTCAGCGCTAAATCATCAAAATTAAAATACTGATAATAAGAGGAAAAGCTTTTAAAATTATGCAAAGATGAAATGTTTAATCAGAAAATAAAAATAAGAAGTCAAAAGTAAAGGATAAACTTAAAGTAACCATGAAATGCTAGACACAAATGCGAATTGTAAGTTATCGATTCACTTGATCATAAAGGAGTCTCGTAATTATATGATGCCCAAAATGGAGTTGTCATTCCTTGCACTGAAAAAGAAAAAAAACACTTGAAACTTAAGCCTCATAAAAAACAAACAAACTTTGAATTGTTTAAAATTTACAAACACTACAACAACCCAAGCCAAAATATATGTCTGTTTTAAGGTTGATCCTAGTTGTTGATTGTGATTTGACATAGTAATAAGCAAGTTAACACTTTTTATAAATCTTGGACAAATATGTAAGTTTCTGAACTTGAAAGTGATTCATAAAGACATGATACCAAATACAATATAAGACAAAGGCAATATAGTTATCTTCTAAAAAAATACAGCCAATATAACTATTCCTAAACTATTTCATTAAGTTGAATTTTTTCAAAATAAAATAAAATAAAAAATCAGAGAAGATTTTCACAAGAAAAAATATCATGACAAAATTGCCAGACTCTAACCCAATGTAGACGTCATTGGCTTCTTGCTATTGCAAACGACGGGTCCTCTGACACTTCATATATTAACCAACATTCAAATCTTTTTTCAATTTCATGTGTTATAACAAATAAACAATAGAACCTAGTTGCTTCTAACTATCAATTTCTCTATTATTCTGGCAATACCTACTTCTCTAGGAATTTTCAAATTAAAACCAACAAACTATTATCGGTTAAAGCTAAATGTTTCAATTATCATGCTTAACTGATAAAAAATGAGTTAGTATAAAAGAATGCATGCAACACTCACTGGAGATACATAGATGGCGAAAAATTAAGGAGATTGTCAAAAGAAGTTCAACAATCAGAGAGAGTATACACAAATTTTGAACAAAATTCGCAAGTTCTATTTTAGCAGTAAGTAGTCATGATTAGTTTTTTATTCCAATAAGGACCGTTAGGAGGAGGAAAATTTGAGATACCTTACCTTGATCAGCCTCTGTGTTCATTGAGTCTAAACTGGTCGATATCCCTTTTTGTCACTTGCGGTTAAAAGCTAGAGGTGTAAAACAAAGAGAGTTTGCCATTAAGACAATGGAGTTAGTTATTTATGCAAAGGTTGGGGAAAATGAGATCTTTAAAATCATAAGCGAAACTAAAACATGAACAAATAAAAAGAAATACATAAAGAGTAGCAAAAAGCTTAATACATGTTAACATGAGAAGTGCTACCATTCATCAATGAGGCAATGTGACAACACCAAGTCTATTATACGATTCTAAACATTCAATAGAAAAACCACACATGCATACTTTATTACATCTTACTACAAATAAAAAATGAAGAGGAGAAGAATGAACAAACCACTTAAATGTATAGCAACTGAATATGTTCGAACAAGTGATTGCACGCATAGTCTCCTAGTGCGATAGGTCAATGAAATTGTTACAAAAAAAGAAAATACACTCCGGGCGCAATCACTTGTTCGAAAGGCGGAAGAATTGTATGGCGAAGAGAGGCGGCTCGACAGGGAAGGAATGAAAAATTGTCAAAGATGATCTTTGTAAATAGAACAATGGGCTGAATAGCTAGAATAATTGATCAAGATAGATGACAACACTTTTCTCCCCCTCTTTCTTACCGATAGAGTAATCTTCTCTTATGGCTTTCACCCCTGCCTGTAATTAGAGAATTAAGCCCATTTCTGATCCATTCATTCTGCAAGTAGGGAGGATCCGGAGCGTTATCCTACATATCCAGTTGCTAGAAACTTTATTGGTCGGATCATTCTCTCATTCTTTAATATGTAGGGATAGGAATGTAGCTTAGAACACAAGCAATACCTCACATAATATTATTCTTGTGAGAAATATAAATGCCTGCGAAGTTAGAAGCAGGGGCGGAGCTAGCCTTCTTTTAGTGGTTCATCCCCCTTTGGCGAAAAATATTACTATTTATACACGGTTAAAAATATTTTTTATGTATATATAGTAGATATTGAACCCCTTCGATTAGTTTGTGTGTTTAGTTCTTTAGATTTTGAACTACCTTATTAAAAATCCTAGCTCCGCCACTAGTTAAGATATGACAAAACTCTCCAGAGTGTTCTCCAATTTCCAGTGTTCGAGCCCACCTTGCACTACCCTCGACAATGCACCAACACAAGTATCTGATAATTCTACCCACCAACCTTAAGCAAATAATTTTTTTTACCTATAGTGTTTTTTGTAACTCCACTGGAATTTGAACCTTCATAAAGGTATGTTTTTCGGTTTTGGGGAAAAATGAAAGGAAGCACTAACTTTTATTAACGAACACATACATATACCCAAAAGGATTGAAATATTATTT